TTTTACTCTTTCATGAATACATAATTGACTTTTTTTGGGATTTTCTTGGGGAATTCCGGGACTCTCCGGATTTTCTACCGCCCCTGGGTATGAACGCGGCCTAATCGTTCCTAGAACAAGATCATGGCTTCATATTGCACATGTATCTCTATCAGAGCACGTACAAGGGGTGTACTTGGTCGCTGCGGTGGGGGTGGTTTTCGCATAAGAGCAGGATGTTTTCGTTTGTTGACTTTTCTCGGTTCTTCCTAGTGCAGTTGCGCTTTTTACACCCCTACCCAGCTCGACGTCAGTTTTTTTTTTTCTAAGGAGGAGAAGGAAGGGTAGGAAGTTGGGAAAATTTAAATACTAGACGGTAAGTAGGATGGGGTAAGGGGAGGGGGTTGTATCGGAGAAAGAACTTGTGAGGACGGTCCTACTTTTCTAAGTTTTCCTAAACCGCAAGACGTGTTCTGCTTTCTGTTCTCTACTCCAAGTACCATTATCTCACATGAATTTTGGCTCGATTCCCTTTCCAGGAACATTTTTTTGGCGTTCTTGTCTGATTCAATCACTGAATTTTGCCCTTTATAACATTTGCATTACCATGATGTTTTATTTTCCAGCTAGGCGATCTCCGATAGCATGGTAAAGGAGGATGAGAGCGACTCCAAAGAAGGTTCTCAGAAATTCTGCATTGAAGTTGTCATAAAAAACCTAGAGGCCTCGTCCGATTACCATCAGGAAGACGTCGAGTTGTCATATTTCATAGGGGCCTATGAGGAGCTGAATAAGTAAGTTGCAATAGGCATATTGTTTTTGTTCAGGGATTCTACTTGATTCTTCTTATTCAGGTTCATCGGTCTTCTGGGAAAAATATTCCATTTTGTGCAAGCAGATGTTCGAGAGAAAACCAACAAGTTGCTCACTCTTCGCGAAAAGAATCCGGATTCTTACCGCAGTGTGAAGTCGATGATAACATACGAGAACGAGCAACAGCACTATCCTGGTTCAAAAGCGCTTCTTGGATTGCATCGGTATGTAGTATTCAAGCCTACCCTCTAAGACTCAGTGCAGCTGCAGCTCTGAGCGATTTCTAGAGCGTTTTCTACCCATTTGAATTAGTCGTCCTGCTGTTGTTCCGAACCAACAGGGTAGAGAGTTTATAGGTAGGTAAATTGAGTGAGTAGAACTTCCAGTTCTGGCGGCAAACCAGTGATAGAAAAACTTGCTTATCCATTAATAACAGTAGTCTTGCAGTTACATAATCTCGAAGATGCGCCAATAGTGAGTTCACGAAAAGTGTTCCTTTCCTTCCAGAATGATCTTGAGGAAATGCCATACTACCCAAAGCCATGTCAAAACATTCCCTGAATACTAGATCATTTCAGAGCATCGCGTTCTGCCCAGCTTCTTTTTCTTGTGATTCTATCTGTGTGAAATTCCGTGAACTAGATTTCTTATTTCTTACTTCAATTCCAGAGCGCTGGAGTTCATCGCAGCCTTTATCGCCGCTCTAGCTGAAAGTACCAACGACGATAGCGTGGCTTCAATTTGTCGCAAAAGTTACGAGGGAACGCTATCTAGGTCTCGTTTTTTTACGCGTCTTATTATGGTTTACTAAGGCTCTACCACGAAGAATCAAATATTTGTTCGCTCTTGGAATAAGTCGCGGCCATGAATAAATGGGTCCACTGTGTTAGCCGCAGCTTCATATGTTCGAATGAGGAAATCGGCGATGCAGTGAGAACTGTCGGGCGATGCGCGACGAAATGTACATGGGTGTGGGCCGGCCACCCATTCACTTACGTTGACGCGCATTCGCTCAAAACGCCGAGTCGCCCTAAACGCCGGATCTGCCCAGTCGCAAAGTATGGAGCGCCTCAGTAAAGTATCTGTGAGTTAGTTAAAGGATCCTCTTTTCACATCAAGAGCGTGACATAGACTTATCGACGCAGTCGGCGAAGGTACTGTTGGCCAATTTCAGAGCTTGGCATGGGGATAGCGCTGCTATAGTTAAAGGCAGTTGGCACTATGGTTTCCTACTTGGGCCTGAATGCTAGTAGCAGCGCTGTATAGTGGGGGAAATGAGCCGAAACAACCTCGAGTGAAACGGTCAATCTGCGAAGAAAAAACCTTCGTGCCAGTAGTGACTTTCAAATCGATTTCGGACGAGTTTCCCGTAGGCATCTTGCCAATCACCGCTACCGAAGATACGGCTGCATATGTGTACCATGTATGCATGCAGCATCACGGCCGTGCCATACCTCGCTTTTTTCTAATTTCTTAGCAAATGAATGAATACGCCAGCGTCAGGACGTCGTCCATTTGTGATGCGGGGCGGCATTTCGGACGTGTTGTGGCTCGATTAAAGGGGGGCCCTTATAAGGGCACCTTCCTCGGGAAAACCGCTATGCAGCGCCTGCCCAGGGTCGCGGAATTTGCCAGGAGTATTGATCCTAGTCGTCTTGGTATTTTATCGCTTTAAATGCCTTTAGGCCTATCGCGTAATCATCCACTCTTTTTGCGTGCAGAACGATGGCGTAATTATAACCCTTAATCGCAGACTTTCAACAGCTCCATTGCTCCATCGGTTTCAGTCTCAAATATTGAAATGATAGCGCGATATTAAGGTTTCACAACTGGATGTTGCGAAGAGCTGTCAGTTTGGCGTCCTACACTCTTCCATCTCGTGGCCAGCTCATCATGTCCATCCATGGAGATGTACCCGAGGAAGATCATGTTCGTACCATTCTCACAAATGTATGCTAGATAAAACACAAGTAGTGTACAGTCGTGTTGACAATATCTACTCTGAATATGACCTCCACTCATTGTTATGATTCGTGCCTTTCTTTTAACCATGAAAATTCACTGCATTTGTCGATACCGTGTTTTTTTTGTCCTCAGTGCACTTATCACCACTGTATGTGGTCTTTCCACATCCAAATATTGATCCGCTTTAATAGTTTTTAGTTTCACAGGTCACAATGCCATTATTGCAATAATCATTTTCTCAGATCTTCCCTTGCCAAGAATTCCATTGTATTATACGACTCTTGTCATAGACATTCAATTGTTTTGGGATAAAGCTAGTTTCCTCGTAAATCTTAATCCATGCCGACAGAAGTCCTACGGTTCTTCCTTACCTGAACGTGAATTGAAGAAGCATGCCAGAAATTTCAGCACAGGACAATTTAAGAAAATTTTATTTTCAAGCGCATGCCGACAAGCTCTGACGATTGGCGGTAAGTTGTGTTCCGAGTCTTTTTTTTTTGTTATTCCAATTGTTGCGTAGCCTTTCGATCCACAAGCCATGCGTAAGTTTTCTTCTTGCTAGAAACCCTCCAATATGATCAGAGTAGATATAATGGCATGCCGGAAGTTTGGAATACTTTAAGGATGAAGTCCGAAGCTACACCACTGATCAATCCCATGCGGCGCGCTTTCTTCTATCATTCAGAGTCGTAACTTAGTACTGGAATGCCGGACTTCTATACAAGGACTAGCGAGTTCCAGCCAATGAACAACTCAGTGTTCTCGCCCTCCTAGACTAATTCGGTACCATTTTACCGTCCCCGGGGTTAGATGGCCTGAGTTGGGTATGGGCGGAGCCGGCGGGATTCGTATTCATGTGGATTTCGCAGGACCAATTGATGGAAAGATGTTCCTCATTATAGTGGATGCATACTCAAAATGGCCAGAAATCATGGAAATGTCTTCAACCACAAGCAAGGCTACAATACGGCAACTAAACAGAGTGTGCACCCGATATGGATATCCCGAAATCTTAGTTTCGGACAATGGAAGCCAATTCACTTCATTGGAATTCGAGAACTTCTGCAAAACGAATGGGATCGTCCATATACGCAGTCCACCGTACCATCCACAATCGAATGGACAAGTCGAAAGATTCGTCGACACTTTCAAACGTGGATTGGAGAAGCTGAAGGAATCCGAAACAACAACAGAGGCCGTACAGAAATTTTTGCTATCCTACCGCAGCACACCATGCTCATCTTCACCCGAAGAACGATCACCGGCAGAGAACTTCCTAGGTCCGAACGCCTCTCACTCTTCTGACGACACCTAGAAGCGTACCGACGGCGCGCAACGAAGACATGGAAAATCAGTTCAACAGACACCATGGAGCTCGCATGAAATCCTTCAAGCCAGAAGACCTCGTCTGGTGAAGCACTCTCGTCCGAGTCTCAACACTACGCCGCGCGTGATAAGCTCCGCAGCTTGCACTAAACTAATCCGCCTTTGCGAACACGTCTCGCACGTAGCCCAGCTCGCAGGGTGGGGAGTACAGCCGTTCAGTACGGTACGAGAGGGTGTTATTCTAGGCAATCGGCGAAGGCGTCTCATAGTTGATTTAGAGGAAGGATTTGCTCAAAGTGTGGGGGAGGCATGGGAAATCCCGGAGGTAAAGCAGTGTTCTGAACTTTTTGTGCTGGGCAGTTATATCTCCTCATCCGTCGATTAGCTCTTTTTCGGAGAGGTAGTGCAGGCAGTGCTGTGCTTTTTTGACTAGTTAGGGGACGGTGCAATGACCGATTCCTCTCCCACCTCAAAGTTGCAGTGATGCATGGGTCGGTGGGGGTGCCGCTCTTCGAATGCTGTGTATATCCTGCAAAAATACTCACCCACTCCAGCGCGCCATTTTGCGAGGGCTCGTTGTTTGTCGTGAAATAATTCATTCACTGATAAATAGGTTTGTTGGTCTGATTCAGTGTGCAAATGTTAAGCTCTTACCCCGGATTGTCAGGCTTGGCGGTTTTATTCTGCATTTCTACAACTGAAATGAGACGGTGGTGATGTAGTGGCATGTGATCCCCTTACCGGATACGGTCCGGGGGTCAAATTCTGGGTCGGGCGCCCAGACCAGCGAAGTTCTTTCCACTGACGTTAAATTGCGTGCAGATTCGTATGGGGATGAGAACACTGACTGTAATCGCGGCTGCCCCTCCCCAAATCCTTGTATAGGAAATACCGTATAAAATCACCTACTGCGATTCTGAATGAAGAGCCTGCGAGTCACATCCCAAAAAGGATTGATCAGCGACAGTAGCTTCATGTTTTCCATGCTTTACCCTATTATAATTGAAGTACGTGGTATCGTGGCGAACAGATGAGTATTTTCAGATCCAAAGTCCCCAGAGGCCCAGTTTTTGACCCCAGAGGCACCGAGTTGCTTGGCTTGAAAATGCCTACAGTGATATAAAATTTGTCACTTACAATATACTTACAGAATCGCTGCCACTTGTGCGGGACCTTCTTGTATTCTTTATGCAACGTCGGATGGAAAGCGTAAAGCAGTACTCAAGCATACGGATGACTTAGTGTCTGCGTTTTTCGTTACTCATGAAAAGGTATGATTCCATTCTCGTAGCAAATTCATTAGGCGTTCTGACTGTTTGTGAAAGCTAGTTATTTTAGCTGGTTACCATAACAAAATGTGGTGATATGATCGAATGGATGAAATCGGGAGACACCTTTGAACAAACGTCGTCCGACCGGGTCACTTCGTCCCCTGTGTTGTAAGTATTTTCATGACTACCAATAAACTTTTTTAAATGAATATTTCCAGAAAAGCCTTCTACCTGCGTGAGGAGGAACGCTGTGTGATTGTTACTGATCAAAAAGCGCATATTACTGTTTCAAATGTGGCACGAGATAAATCCCTGTCGCAGATCGCTCAGCTTCCTGTTGGGCTTAGTTCTGAGCAAATAGCCGTCACGGTAGCCACGCTTTTCTTTATTCCGTCAAGTTTAGGAAAATGTGTAAGTGTGATTTTAGAGCAGCTTCGTGGCGTACTGTAGTGGTAAGGAAGTGTTTGTAATTCCTACCGATGAAAATCCATCGTTTTCTGCTAGTAGCTACCTATGCAAAACTCATATCGAAGGTTTGTACATTTAGACCTATTGGTTTCAGTCTTTCCGAACTATGATATGAGAGATTTCAGGGTTTGGTGATCGGAACGCATCCAACGTTTTTGTAAGGATCACGGCTTTAGGAGATACGATTGCGGCCACACTAGCCATTGGAAGAGTTTACGTTTGGTATGAGCAGTTGGGACGCCTTAATACTTCACGGAAACCACGATCTGGGAGAATGCCCGATTAGGAAGAATCGGAAGGATCAAATTGAAATCGTTTGGTGCCGCATGAAGGTGCTGGTGGTAGGAGTCGGTTGGTAACCCTCACAGC